CCTAGAGCTTGCTGTTCTGGCTAGGCAGGCTGGCAGCAAGCTCCCTGGACTGTTCTTGCTTAGGCAGGCTGGCAGCGAGCTCCCTGGACTGTTCTGGCTAGGCAGGCTGGCAGCGAGCTCCCTGGACCTGCTTGTCTCCTCCTGCCATGCTGGTTGACAGATGTGTACCACTTCGTCTTCTGGGTGCTGGGATCCCAGCTCAGATCCTCATGTGTGTGATACAAGCACTTTACCCACTGACGACGTGCCTTCCCACCAAAGCCTTTTCCTTCTTCCCTTCCTTCCTCCCGCCTTTCTCTCTCTCTCTCTCTCTCTCTCTCTCTCTCTCTCTCTCTCTCTCTCTCTCTCTCCCTCCCTCCCTCCCTCTTTCTTTTTCTCTCTCTCTTTCTCCCCCTCCCTCCTCCCTCTTTCTTTCTTTCTTTCTTTCTTTCTTTCTTTCTTTCTTTCTTTCTTTCTTTCTTTCTTTTTCCTTTCTTTCTTTCTTTCTTTTTCCTTTCTTTCTTTCTTTCTTTCTTTCTTTCTTTCTTTCTTTCTTTCCCTTTCTTTCTTTTTTTTAAGTTTTTTGTTTTGAGGGGAATTCCGACGTTAACCTTAGTTTCAATTTCCAAACCTCTTAAACCTCGCAAAGGCTTTAAGAAAGAATTTGCCTCCCAAGTCATACATTTTTGACATTTACATAAAGTCCAATTTTCATGTGATTTTTTTTTCCAGACTCCGGAGTTAAATCCTATGTGAAAAGTGCAGCCCTAGGAAAGAATCGTGACTTGCCAGAGACTGGATCCAGCTGGTTAGTGAGTCAGGCATCACCCCTTACCTGGGCCGTTCTGGTTGTGAGGGAGACCCATGTCAGTCAGAGGGAAGAAACACATCGGCAGAGCTTCAGTAAATGCCCGTCAGGAAAAGATTCAGGGACCGGGAGATGCTCCGTGGATAAAGCTCTTGCCATTCAAGTGGGAGGACTGACGTAAAATAAAAGCTAGGTGTAAAGTGAATGAAATATTCTAGCTTATTTAAAAACGCACAATCCTGGGATTTTATTTACAAGCTGTAAGCTTAGATCGGGCAGATTTGGGGCTATTCTAACTTATAACCCAGCCATATGCCCCTTGTTACTTGATGTTTCTCGTGGCCACGTGCTCATGGTCCATTTCTTCTCATGGTGGCTTCCCTCTCCTTTCTTCTTTTCTCCTATCTCTACAACTGTGACTTCCCAGGTCAGGTAACTGAAAACCGCCTACCTCTATCTACTGCCCAATCACAGCCTTTAGCCTTTTATTGACCAAAAACTTGGGGAGCAAGGTTACATAACCACTTGGTGTACATGAAGATCTCCCGGGGTGGGGGGGGGGGAGGCGCTAGTATTTAGCATTTGAATACATAGCAGCACCAGACCAACCCCCTACAGCTGAGGGTGGCAAACCATAGCTACAATGCCAATACTTGGGAGGCTGAGGCAGGAGGATCAAAAGATCAAGACCAGCTTGGGCTATGGATTGAAACTGTCTCTCAAGAAAAGTTAAAATAACAGAAAACAAAAACAAACAAACAAAAAACCCCTGATAACTTCTCGATTAGCTCCTCATAAAAGATAAGGCAGTGTTCTCAAGCTGTGGGTCACCATCCCTCTAGGAACTGAACAACCCTGTCACAGGGGTTGCCTAGAACACAGATATTTACGCTTCCTAACAGTAGCAATGAAAATACTCTTAAGGTTCGGGGAGTCACTACAACAATAGGGACTGAATAAAAGGGTCACAGCCATAGGAAACCAGCGGAAGGGTCAAGGGTACGTGGTCTGCACTAGGTGTACTTGACATGGTTTCCTGAGTACTTTTGTATGGCGTGTGTTGTAGAAGGTCTGTGTATGTGCTTGCGAGTATGGGTGTGTATGTGGGTGCATACAAACCCGTGATCTATGTGTGTGTAGGCCAGGTCAACAAGGTCTTCATCACTCTGTCTTTTTGCAACAGGGTTTCTCACCAACCCTGAAGCTTATTGATGCAGCCAGGTCGGTCGGTCAATGAGCATCGGGGGTCTATCTCGAGCCGTGATGTTACAGATGTGCGCTATCCCATCTGGCTGTACACGAGTTTCTGTAAGTCAAGTGAAAGTCCTCATGCTTGAGTAGCAGGGACTTCACTGAGTCTTCCTTCCAGCCAGGGAATGGTTACCTCCTATTGCGTACTACGGTCTCTGGGTTGCTACTTTTGTAACTAGATTTATGGAAAGATACAGCACAAAAAGCATACTTCTGTGGTTCTAAACTCCACAACGCCACCTGATATTAATTGGGAAAGCAGTTACAGGGTGAAATGCTGGGAATCCTTACTACCTTGCCCCCTCCAACTCCCCCCATCTCCGTATTCTAAAATAAGATGGGTGTGTGTGTGTGTGTGTGTGTGTGAGGGAATGAGTGATGATTTTAGTGTTTTAAATATCAGTTTGATTTCAACAAGCTTAAGAGGAATTGTGCGGTAACTGGATGAGCCTGGGGCCCAGAAGCCTTCAGGGACCCAGCAACTCCAAGAGAAGCAGAGAGCAGGAGTGCTTTCCTCTTCCTGTCTCACACCTTAGAGACCCAAGGACTCTGGGAAGGCTATGTCTCCATCTTTGGTCAGGAACAGTTTCCACGAAGGGAGACAGTTGGAGATGCGTAGTAGATCTGCACGCCTTCAGAAGGGCATGCAAGCTTCTGTCTTCAAACGTAAAAAACTCATCCCCTGCATCACACTCAATGACATCGTGCTACCAAGTCATTTATAAATGTTTATTAAATGTCAGTAATTTTTACAAAGCAAATATTAATAGTAAAGAGACAAACTTTTTGCAAAATATGTACAAAAGTAAAAAGCCTTAGTGAATAATAGCAATTTGTTTGGGGGAAATGAAACCATACCTTCTACTCTTAGGCCTCCTGTAGAAATAATTTACTGTTACTCTCGAACCAAAGCACTGACCAAAAAAAATTTACAACAGTATTAGATAATGTGCTTAGTTCCTGGAAAGTTTTAAAAAGATGTATGGAAAAAAAAAAACTAAGCCACAAATACTTTTATACAGGGTAGTATGAACCATGATGTGTTAGGGACAGCATCCCCAAGGGCTGCACTGTGTGCCTCTAATAAGGCTTCTTGTGCTCCGTGAGCTCACACGTAACCGAGAAAAGTCATTCGGGAGATTTTGCGATTCTGCTTTCAAGTAAAGAGGTAAAGAGAAGGTACACAGGATACAGTCTGCTTCATTACCATATGCACCCAACAAGAACACACTGCCTCCTTCCTTCCTGTCATTCTCGGTGCCATTGAAGAGGCACGGTTAATGTCAAAATCGTCACTCACTTTGGCAGTGTTTTATCTGTGAATAGAATGAGAATTACGTACTGAGAAGGTGGCTTATTACCATCAGTGATCCTCACAGACCCGAATCCATGCTTCAAACCATCTAGTGACTTCATCACTATTAACACAGCAAAGGTCACAAATGTCACATTACAGCCCACTTAAACACTACCACATGACTAGTGCTTCATTTAAAAAAAAAACAAAAACAAAAACACAAAACAAGTGGTAATCTCTGCAGTTGGGAAGTTGAGCCAGGAGGATCTCAAATTCAAGACCAGCCTGGGCTACGCAGGGAGACCCTGCCTCAGAAGCACAAATATACAAGCCAACAAACATAAAACAATACTATGTGCCATCCGTGGCACTCAAAACTGGACGGTCAGACCTGAATGCTATATAGAGGGATGAGCAGGAAAATTCAAATGCCGATCTACATCCGGGAGGACGTTAGGATGCTAGCAGATGAACACTGCTTTGATGAGTCTGATACCCGCCTGCAAGGCACGGCTACAAGCATCTAGCTGATGGTGTCTGAGAAGCTACCATCAGGTTTTGACACAAAACTCAATCCTATTGTAAACTGACTTAGCCCTAAACTCGTACCGTAAGAAAATGGGCATCATGTGCCCTCATGCTTTCTAGGTTGAAAGGCCAACCACATCCCAGCTTTAAAAAAAAAAAAAGAAGAAGAAGAAAAAGAAAGAAAAGAAAAAGAGAAAGCAGAAAATACCTTCATTCAAGTAGCACAAACCAAAGATCCCTTGACTCACGGAATTTAATGTACTGAAATCACAGAAAAGAGACATACAGCCAAAGTCTGATTCTCCAAATAAAAAGGACCTGAAAACTTTATTCTCCATCTTTCAAATAAAATTAAAAGAAATGAAAGGGTAACAAAGCGGCTTTGTCTAGGTTTATTAGGGAATTTCTTACAAATGTTTGACTGGGCTTTACAGGTAGGATGCATGGGTTCATACAGGAAATTCAAATTAACACTGGCACTTGGTCTTCTCAAACGAGAAAAATAACATCACTATAAATTGCAACTCGGAGTCAGGTTTCAGATGGTTTGTTTGGGGTTTTGCCTAAATGTATCATTAAATAATGAAAGCACCAATTTGAGGGTTTTCCAAATAGCTTGAGTCTCAGGATATAACCGCATAACTTGGCCATTTTATTCTTCATATAAACGAGGCATAACCGGATGCGAATACCAACACTGAGAAATACATGCTGGAAGGTAAGAGTTACTTAGAGGGCACATGCTTTTTGCTGCATCTAACAATTCTTGTCCCTTCTGTCACTAATGTGGTCTTACTGTCTCTCACTTTAAAGCATCAGCTGCCACTAACTTAACAAGCATTTCCCTGTTGAGTCCTAACTTGAGGACTTCACCAGAGGACCTTCTCGGTGTGAAGTACCCACAATGCACTGCGATAGGAAAACAAACAAAAAACCCAACATACTCCTCTCCAAGGATACCCCATCTTGGGTGACTGAAGCTTCCCTCTGGCTCTCAAGTACCCTTTCTAGATAGAAAAACTGATACAGGGGCTTCCATTGAATACAGATAGCATTAGGTAGAGAGCAGTATCTCAGGCCATTACAGATATCTGGGTGGCAGCTGCACATCATGAATTAAGATCTTAAGAAAACATGGAACAAAGCCCTTTGCCCATTAAAAAGAAAATTAAGGTCTAGATCTGTGTTGTTCTTTTATTTATAAGGCAACTCTGTAAAATAGAAAAAGATTCTGAAGTCAACCAAGACACTTGTGTAGTTCTTTGTCAGTAAGCAGGAAGGCTTTGGGGTTGAAGGAGTCTGGATTAGGCACAGTCACTCCACACACCCCGAGACATGCACAGTCCAATGCCCACTAGGGCATCGACTCCCAGGCATGGTTCCGGGATGGGGGAAATCAGCACACTGAGGGTTGAGCACCTTTTCAATTCTGTCAGCTAAATTTCATCTTCCCTGTCACACAACAGTATTTCCCTTCACAAAAGGACCTGACTTTCAGGGTGTGGGTGTCAGACCGCAAATGTGGACCATGGCTTTTTGGCCGAGCCTCACAGTTCTTTAAATTCTAAATACTCTAAACAATCCTGTATAGATTACATGTAAGTAAGCCACCGCTTCAGAATGTATCTGGACTGCATTGGGTTCTGAGATGCTGCATGCTTCAGAAGGATGCAGCCGCCCAGAAGGATGCAGCTGCCCAGGAGGAGGTTGTCTCTAGTCAGGAGCTCTTGCTCTTTCTTGGTAATGGTCACAATGGAGGAAGTCAGAGATCCTGCTCTGTCAGGCAGGATTTCTGTGCTTACCACAGAGCTTAAATGTAACCAGATACAACTGCTTTCTGGAGGGCCTGACTTCTGCCTTCACTGCAGTTCGCTGTGGCCAATGCACACGAATGTTTGCTGAATTAACACAGAGCACGTGTTACTGTCCACATGCTCAACTGCTCATCAGCACGGGAGTTCTGCTAACCCCATGAATTTAAATGACATATTCTTTTTTGGCAAAAAAGGACCAGACGTAGAACCATTCAAATATCCATGAATCATGCTAACAACACTTGCACTGTGATACTGGCGTACATGTCTGAAGTTCATGATATTACCAAGGCAAGAAAGTACTGTACTTTAGAACTGGAAGGAGAGTGAAAGTTCAAATCCAAGACAAATTAGGTCTCTCAAGTACACACTAGGGGGGCCAGCTCTTGAAGCCTCCAGCAAGGAAAAAGGAAAGCTTGCGAGGCTCAAAGTCGGCCAATGTTTCAGGGCCCAATTTCTTGCCTGAGACCACTCACACAGTAAAACAACAGGCATCACTCCCCTGGTGTACTCTCCAGGGAAAGCAGGGACAAGCTTAAGTTCTACAAACTCATAGGCCAGTTGGAACATGACAAATGGTTTAATACACCAGTCACTATATTTAATCATAAGCTACTTCATGGGCACAGTTTAACTTAGCAGTGGTGTGTGTGTGTGTGTGTGTGTGTGTGTGTGTGTGTGTAAGGCAAACCTCCCTAAGTATGGGCCAAAAATGTACTTATCTTTAGATGCATTCTTTAGACATTCAAATGTACCTCAATGAAGCTGTTGCTGTCTCACACACAATGACACACACAACATGTACAAACGATATCACATAGAGAGACACTAACCACAAACAGGGTATTGAAAGGACATCTTCTTCAACAGTTCACAGGGAAACACTGTCCGCCAAGCTCTCAGTGACAAGAGAACTCGAGAGCGCCACAATTCTGAGTTGCTGAGGTTGAGACAGTGGGACAAAAGGAAGGAGACCAGACAGCCATTTCTTCCAGCAAGGCACAAAATCCAATGAGACAGGACCCAAAAGTCACACCTGGCACTCTAGAGCCACTAAGTTGATTCCCGATACCAAGGTGTTTGCCCTTTCTACTTGTTGTTATGGCTAGCATGTCTCTAACATGGCACATTAAGTTAGTGACAATATGTATGGCAAAGGAAAATGCATGTCACTGGTCACCACAGATCAACATAGCACATGTACCATTTGTGACCACATCAGCATCAGGCTGAATCCATATTGTAAACTTAAACACTAAGATATTACCTTCAGAAATTAAAGGAATTGAGAAAAACAAACTACTGCTGTGTGGGTCGGGAGGGTAAGCCTCCGCAGGCCGAGACTGCCGCTCCTTAGATCGTTTCTCTAACAGCCCTTTCAGACCAGGGCTTACTCTAGCCAGGCATGTCACTGCTGGCTACGGCACTCTCTTTTTAGAGCTGAATTTTCATAATCTCACCCCTACAAGTACTTAAAGATACTGCCTATTCTTGGTACTGCAGGGGAATTAGGAGAATCCAGTTTGCAAGCAGAAGAATTCAAAGCCTGAAATACACCTAGTGTGAGGTTGGCCAGGAAGTTATAATTGAATGCAAGCCACAGTGAAACTGATCAAAGCCCGAATTCCAGCAGATATTGGCAATGTGTTAATTCAGCAGCTCTCAGCCACAAACTAAAGGCCACAGATGGACTAAGATTTCCAAGAAGTTAGACACAGAATTGAGATCTTTCTAACTGCTGTTGTAAACTACTATGTAAAAAGAAAAACAAGACAAACAGAAAACAATCAAAATCACAACAAGGTATTAAAATAGCGAGTCTTGTCATCACTGGAGCATAAGCTGTTTGAGGTTGTCATGAAGGATCGTGTCCTTCACGTCTCGGAACACAAGGCGGATGTTCTCCGTGTTGATGGCAGTGGTGAAGTGGTGGTATAACGGCCTCTGCTGCTGGTCCCGGCGTTTCCCTCGGAAGCATTCCACCAGAAACTTTTGGACGTCTCTTAAGCAGTGTGGGTCCCCTTCAAATTCTAGGAAATAGTCTTTGATGCTTACAACTTGCACTTTCTCCTCAAGCAAGTCTGTCTTGTTTAAGAAGAGAATTATAGAGACGTTGCTGAAGACCCGATTATTGACAATTGTTTCAAAAATGTTCAGAGATTCTGTAAGGCGATTGGTCAGGCGATCTTCCATAAGCACCTGGTCAAACTCACTTGAAGAGACAAGGAAAAGTATCGATGTCACACTGTCAAAGCATTCAAACCAACGTTTCCGTTCTGATCTCTGACCACCTACGTCAACCATTTTGAAAGGAACATTTTTAATTTCAAAGTCGTACTCATGGATGCCTTTGGTGGGTCTTCTGGCAAGCAGAATATCTTGCTGTGATGGAATGTAGTCCTGGAAGAGAAAAGGATTTACACTTACAGTTCTCAAGTAGCAACTGGCCTAGTAAACGGATGCATAAACTAAATGACTAAAACAACCAACCCAAAGCCGGCCTCTAGCTTGAGCTCCTAGCACCTCAGCCTCCCAGGGAGGGAGTCACAGGGGAAGGAAGCTCCATGATGGACACACTACTCACACGAAAGTGGGACTCCCAGCCTACCTCATACACCTGCATTACTATCCAGTCCCCGCTCCTAGGTTATGCCAGAGTAATCTCACGGCCCAGCTTCTCCATGCTGGTCCTCGCCCTCTAAACACAGAAGGATTGGAGGATCCAACTCGTGAGGCTCATTTCCCATGCTCGGCGCTGTCCCAGTCTCTAACCCATTACACCTTCTTCTTTACTGTACACACGTCCCTCTCAACTTGGAATAAGCTCCACTCTGTCACCTACATGTGAAACACTTTCTCTAGCATGAATGATTAACCATATGCACTTCAGACTGTGGGCTAGTCTGTTTGCAAGCAATAGTTCAAGAAGCTCTCACTCACTGAGCACACTGGGAGCACCTTGTCTGAGGAGGAACAGGCCGTTCACACCTGGAGGGCACTCACACCTAGCACACTTGTCAAGACTGTTAGCTCTTCTCACCTCTTTATGTAATCACTGCTATAATGACTAGGCTGGTGTTGAAATCCGTCATGATCCCCCTGTCTCTGCCTTTGGGTGCTAGGATTACACATTTACATTCCCACACGTGTGTGTGTGTGTGTGTGTGTGTGTGTGTGTGTGTGTTTATGGCACAGTCTTACTAAGTTGTCCTGGCTGACCTGGAACTGTTGACAATTCTCCTGCCTTAGATTTACAAATGCTAAGACCCCCAGATCCTGCCACCAGGCCTAGCTTTCCAGACCTTATGACCAGGGAAACGTAAGATCTTGAACAGAGGCAACTGCTAGTTGCAGGAGTGAGCAACCGCACCCAGCAGCACACTTCCTTACGTCCCTGACTAACCGGTCCTTCCTTCTCGGACTAGTACTTTTCCACAAGTCATATGGCTTTTTGGCAACAGGAAGAGTTTGGATACTTATCTTCATGGTCAAAATATTTTAAAATTCAAGGCAGGATCAAAAACCATGACTTTACAAGCTGTCTGCATTTTATGCCTTTCTAAGGGCTCAATACAGAGTAGGGTTTCCATAGCTTTAGATGGAAAGAATCGAGTCTGGGTCTATGATCTGTCCTAAGCTCACAGAATGGGTGATAACATGGAGCCCAGCCAGCCTTACTCTCCTCTCCATGCTGACTATGTAACCTCCTTTCCCTTCTAGATGTGGCTTCAGAACTATTCTCACCCTACAGTTTAAGCACATACTAGACACGGCTGGGACTGGCCTATACTGTTTATCTATAAGCTATTTGTTGATTCCCTACTTTGTGCCAGGCACTGTCACTAGGAACCAGGGACTTGATTCTTGCAATCGAGGTAGGAAGTCCTGGTCCTTATAAAAGAATGGATAAAAGAAAAACAAAGTAACCATCAGCATGCTAGATATAGACAGGGAGAGATGGCAGCTGTTAGCCAAGCCGCCATGCCAGCACCAGGGAGGAGTTCAAGGTTATCTTTTACTACATAGTAAGTTCAAATTGAGCCTGAGCTACAAGAAACTTCGCCTCAAAAAACCATGCAACAAACAACATTGAAACCCCAGCAACAATGAAGAGGATGTACGTGAATGGTGTGCTTAGACAACCTGCCTGGAAAGCAGAAAAGCAGCAGACAAGCTCTCTGTAAGAGACTGTAAGAAAGCACTCTTAAAAAAAATATCATTATCAGGGCATTGTGGTGCATGACTTTAATTCCAGCAGGAGGCAGACACAGGCAGATCTCAGTGAGTTCGAGGGCAACCTGGTCTAGAAAGCAGGTACCAGGCCTATGGAATGAGACCTGGTCTCAAATAAACAACAACAAAAGTCAAAGCTGGTTTGGGGTCTGGAGAAGCTGCTCTTGCAGAAGGCATAGATTTAGTTCCCAGCATCCACATGGTAGATAGAACTCCAATTCCAGGAAATCTATCATCCTTTTCTGTATTCCCGGGGCACTGAGTAAGCACAGTAGGCACATACATAATACATGTAGACAAGCACTCATATAAATAAAATAAAAATAAATAAAAATTTTTAAAATGTTCAGGGCTGAGGAGGTGAGCTCAGTAAAGTGTATGCATACACAAAATGGTGGTGCTGACAGAGCACCACCTCGATATGCCCTAGAGCTGGGGAGAGGAGGTGGGGGCCTTGCTGATCGGCAGTCAGACAAATGTGTGAGCTCCAAGTTCAGGGAGGGAGCCTGTCTCAAACAAGGCAAGAAAGAACTGCGGAAGACATGCAGCATCAACCCTGGCCACTCCACCAGCAGTGTACATGTTGGTATCAGGCTCTGAATCCAGTGACATCACATCTAGGCGGACCCCCACACTGTTGCCAAGGCAACTGCCATACATTCCAGAATCCACCTGGCTACCTCCCACCCTTACCTTCAAGAGGCTACGTCACTGCCCATATAAAATAGGCAGAACCACCTGACCTCGCTCTCTCCTCTCTTCTTCCTCTTCTTCTCCCCACCTCCCACTTTTGCCCTATCTCCTGAATAAACCCCACTTGGAACCATTTGGTCTGGTGCGGTCTGTTCTAAGCTGCACGGACGTATATCAGCACATGTCCGCGCACATGCACCCCGCATACGCAGTGTTCCCTAGTGCTTTTCTCAGACTGTGTGTATTATGTGATGAACTAAGTTATAAAGGACTCAAGTTCTGGGAGACACTTACATTTGTAGGAAGTAGGTAAAAAATACTCCTTGAAAGGCAACATATACAATTAAAAATTAGCTTCATTTTTGTTTTGTTTTGTTGTTTTGTTTTTTTCGAGACAGGGTTTCTCTGTGTAGTCCTGGCTGTCCTGGAGCTCACTCTGTAGACCAGGCTGGCCTCGAACTCAGAAATCCACCTGCTTCTGCCTCCCAAGTGCTGGGATTAAAGGCGAGTGCCACCACTGCCCGGCTAGCTTCATTTTTTGAAATAGGCTGGCCTTAAACATTGATCCTCCTGCCTCAGCTTTCTGACGTTCTGATGGGATCTGACATTCTTACAGCAGGTCAGTCTTGTGCCCTCCTTCATCAGCAGGCCAGCCCTGATGCCCCAGAACCACAGCTCACCTAGCACAACAGAAATCTACGAGGAAGCAAAGGTGCACTAGGCTTCATGAGTAACACATACCTCTGGGGCAGAAGCTCTAAGCAGTGAAACCCTTCATTCCACCTAGCTCTTGGGCATTGACAATCTAGTGAGCTCTCTGCCTGTCATGAGTACGGGAAAGTCACAAGCCTGTCCAACTGAGTCACTGAGGCAAACACTGGGAAGATAACAGAGTCTCCTTCCAAGGTGGCTCTCTCTTACCTCAGTCTCCTCTGGAGGCCTGAGAACCCCAATCACTGAACCACAGCACAAGAGAGTTCTGCTCTGTTTCTGCTACAGAAAGCCCAACAACACTGAAGAATAATAGCATGAAATCACATTTTTAAACACAAATCTCTTTCATTTGACAAATTAGAAATCTGTCAATGTTTGTAGGAAGATGACCAGGCCACTGGCACTAGAAGAAAAAGAAAGGCTGGCTGCCTGGTATTGTCTAACTTTCCTAACAAGCTGCCCCAAACAGAAGCAATGCTGTCCCCATTACTATGAGTATAAATGACCAGAACTACTGTTTTGAAACTTACCGGTACTCCAAGCTTATCCAAGTTATCCAAGAAATACTTTACAGACTCACCCTGAAAACAAGAAGAAAACAAAGTTAGGAAGGCTTGAATATCACAGGGTTTATGTTGTACTGTGGGGCTGTACACTTGGTTCAAATATACTTTGGTTAGTTACATTCAGAGAAGCTGAAGCGGGGGACTACCAAGTGTGAGGCCAGGCTGGGCTACATAGGGAAACTTTTGTCCCAACCAAAAAATGAAGGCCAACACAAAACACAGACCTTGACAAACACTAACTTTAAAGCACGACTAAAGGGGCTGATGATGAGGCCGAGTGGTGCTGACCAGCACGCACAGACCCTGGGCCAGTCCTCAGCACTAAACAAATACACAAACAGCCGAGAGGAAGCACAACATAGGCTACGGCATTTGGTATGGCTTACGGGATGACCACAAGACATTTTTGCCCTTGTGCTTGGCCTGTGACTACAGGTCAGCCTGACTGAAAGAAAGGAAAACAATGCCTAGCACTACAAAAATGTCACTGCAGAAGTTTTCAGGCTCCTGGAAAGATCTTTGTTGTGACATCAAATCTGGTAGGTCTACTCCCTGAAGGCTGAGTCCCTATGGGACTAGTAACCCTACCAATGTGCTTCTCAGATCCTGCCATCCTAGGGCCCTGTCTGCTCTGTCCTCTAAGTGGGCCTTTACCTGGCCACAGCTCAGTGGCACCTGACACTGGTCATTTGGAACAGAGCAGATCACTTAAGTTATGCAAAGCTTCTAAATGCTGGCATGTTTTATTATACAGTATCTAAAACCGTATTTGCCAACAGCTCTGTCAATTGTGTTAAGTCTGTGGGAGCTGCGCTGCTCACTGTGGCAGACAGACTTGGGTTCCCTATATTCTAGCACTCGGCTGAAAGCTTAGGCTCTATACTAGCAGCAACCTAAATCTAGGCTATTTTCCGTGAAGTAGTGGGATGACCGAAGCGTCTGAATGCCCATCATTCCTTCAGGCAAAAGCAGCATGCCCTGAAAAGGGCAGCTGGAGCAGCTTGCAATGAGCCTAGTCATCCTTCAGATTCTCCAGCTAGGGTCCAGTTTCTGTTTCAATCCATATTCATCAGAAAGACACCCAAAGTGACGACTGAATACAAGGACCCAGTTAACTGCTCAATCCAGGGCAGTCTTCAGTTTGGGGGTGTGTCATGTCCAGATACACTTCTAGACACAAAAACAGGCTGATGAAGAATACAACCAATATGTTCTGAGGCTCACACACTGATCTGCTGCTCTTTACCTGAGGTATAGATGGCTATGAGCTGCCTGATGGGGTGCTGGGAATCAAACCTGGGTCCTCTGGAAGAGCAGCTAGTGTGGAGCTATTTCTTCAGCCCCAAGCTTCCCCTTTCAAACTCCCTGGAGCAAGCTGTGCTGTTTTAGTTTTAGAATCCCCTCCATCCCCGAAAACGCAGAGTGAAGCCGCCAAGCATCATGGGAGGTAAAGCTTTAACATGCTTGAATTAATTTTAAGGAGATTTCTACAGCTGAACTGAACATAAATAAATGGGGGACTGAGCATAAACACAGGACAGGTCATTTGTAACTGTCACTTACTGTTTCTCCCTGTCTCTAATGGGAACACATAGTGACTTGTTTTCAAGGACCTGGTATTTCAGAGTAAAGAAAAGGGCTTGTGCTACTGGCTCCTGGCCTGTAGAAACTCGATATACCTCCTCCACACACACACCCACTCATAAAATAAATAGGAAAAAATGTGTCTGTGCAAGTATATGTGCACATGTATGTACAGGTGCTTATGCCTGTGCATGTGAACAGAAGTCAGAAGAGGATGCTGGTTCTCTTTCTCTCTCTCTCCCTCTCCCTCTCTCCTTCCCCCCGGTCCCTTTGAGGCAGAGTTTCTCCCTGAACCCAAGGCTTGCATTTTGTAGGCTAGACCAGCAAGCCCCAGTTGATCTTCCTGTCTCTGCGCACTCGGAGCCGGGACACCTGGTGTGTGACAAGGGTGCTAGGATACAAACTCTGGTCCTAGTGACTGTACGGCAAGCATCCTCAACTGTTGAGCTGACTCTCCATCTATCTTCTTTAAATAAATAATTTTAGTTCCCACCCCCACCCCTGCAGGGTTTCACTTTCTTTTCCCTCCCTCCTTCCCTCCCGCTCTCCTTTCTTTCCCTCTTTTGAGGCGGGAATAGCCAGGACTGGATTTGAACTCACGGCAGCACTCTCAGCCTGCTGAGTGCTAACATTACAGGAGTGGGCCACTGCTGACAGTTCTAATAGCACTTTGACGATAAACAGCTGTGAAGACACAACTTTCTGCACATCTCCAACTCTCTACAGTGAGACTCTGGATGGAGTTAAACATTTCTTAATAGATTCCTGCTAAGTTCTCTTGGGTCCTCCTCCCCACACAGGTGAAAACACTGAGTTCAGTCTTCAACAGAGAATCCAGACAAGGATAAAAGAAACCAACTGGTGGCACAGCCTGTAATCCTGGTACCTGGAAAACAGAGGCAGCCTGAGGACCAGTTCAAGGTGATTCTCAGACTGCAGTTCAAAGTCAGTCTGGGTTATGTGAGCCTCAACTAACTAACTAACTAACTAACTAACTAACTAACTAACTAACTAATTAACACAACAACAAAAACAAAAACCAAAAAAAGGAAAAAAAAAAGAAAAGAAAAGAAAAGAAAAAAGAAGTTGCCCATCCAAGTCAACAGTAAAAGTTCAATCATTTGTATTATTCATCTTCTGGGGGTAAGGGTAAATGAAAGTTAACATGCCCTCCCTTACACCTAGGTAGATATGTACACCACCCTACTGTTTAAGAGGTTTACAGAAAACTGTGTACACACCCTAGTGGCATTACCGATCTACACAAACCTCTTAGAAAGCTAGGAGCATTATGTCCCATAAAACATTTAATGGCCTTGTTTGTTCCAAGGCATTACTCAGCATAAACAACAGGACGTACACAGAAGGACAGTGAGGTGGGAGTGACGATCCTCACTGGAGGCTTAGAGTCAGTGTGATGCCAGCCCAGGATATACAAGACCCTGCACCAAGTAACACTCCCAAAAGAATGACTACATAAAATACAACGCCCCAAAAGAATGAATACATAAAATGTTATTTATTCAGTGATACCTATAACAATAAAATCTGGAATATTATATTTCCATATAGAGTTAAGAAAGAAATATAATAAATCTGGGTATACATATATATAAAATACCTTAAGTTATCACACATAATTATCTGATATCAGGCACATAAGAAATACTTGTGCTATTAAATGCTAAACTGATGTAGTAGATTATAAAGTCAAAGCCTACAACGTTGACCTACAAGGCATTCTTTAACTTTTGCAAATATGGAACAATACTCACAAAACAGCAAAGCCCAACCCAAGTTTATGTCGGAGTCTTTAGTTGTTTATCCTACATGGCTAACTTACTCCAATGTTTTCATGCACAGAAATGGTGGTCATTGTCTGGTGTACTTGGCCTTGCCTTGCTGTCATTTTAAAAAACGTTGATTCAAAGATTTAAAGATCTGTGACACTATAAGCTCAGCTGTATCTTAACTCCTTAACATATGGGCAAAGGCAACTCTGTAGCATTGTATTATCTTTTTTTTTTTTTTTTTTTTTTTTTTTTTCTGAAAATGAGAGAGCTACGCTTGGTAGCTAATGCCTATAACCCTAGCACCAGAGTCTAAAGCTGGGGGACAGCCATGAGTTTGGGGCTAGCTTGCTGTTGCTGTATGAGGTGAACTCCAAGCAAGCTTGGGCTATCCAGTGAGACCCCAAGGAATCAGAGAGCAGGGGATGGCGGGAGGGTTCCTGCTACGTGTCTTCTTTTAGAACTACAAACACTTTACATGGTTCAGAGGGCATGCTACTCTTCCAGAGGACTAGCTTCGTTCCCAGTACCTATTCTCAGCAGTCAACAGCCACAGCCAGTGGCTCACTAGAATCCTAGGTCCCGTCCAGGGGATTGGGTACCCTCCCTCTTGTAGCTTCTGTGGGCACCTGTACTTGTATGCTCATACCTGCAAGCACAACTTCAAGTAAATCTTAAAGATTATTTTTATTGTATTTTATTGTATTTTAATTGTACGTATACAAATATTTGCCTACACGTATGTTAATGTACCACATTAACACTGTGTGTGCAATACCCGCAGAGGCCCTGGACCTGGAGTTACATATGGCTGTCGAGCTACCATGTAAGTGCTAGAGACTGACCACATGGGAACTGGTGCCTGAACCTGTGTTTTCTGCAACAACAACAACAACAACAACAACAACGGCTCTTAAACCAGGGGACATCTGTCTAGCCTCATAAAAATAAATCTTAAAATCAAACAAACAAACAACCCCCCCCTCCACGCACACACCTTCCACTACCTTCCTGCCTCTGTCTCTCACTGCTGGGTTCGTCTGTGCTTTATTTATTAGAAATTGAAAAATCTCATGAAAACCAAGTGGTAATGACTACAGAAAAAAGCATGTAACACAGAGACAATTCCTTTACACCTAAACGTATGGATGAACTTCTAGGATTTCACGTCTTGCTTTCTCTTCCAGTTCAGCCATATCTACTGTAGGACATAATATATTCAGTTATTCCTGTGGCAAACATACTTTGGTTAAAATGAAGTCTCCAATCAAAAAGAGTATGCTGGGACTGGAGAGAGGAGGCAATCTGGCTTCATTCTTGCTCTCTCCTTCATGCCTGCTGTCCCTGCCCCTTTCTGACAGGGTCTTATGTGTAGCCTATGATGGCCTTGAATTCAAGACAGTCCTGTCAACACCTCTTATGTTCTAGAAGTTTTTATCAGTAGCTTTTAAATTTTATTGAGGGAAGAAAAATCACAGGAAAAAACTCTTTTTATGATCTTGAACAACAACAACAACAACATGTGCATAATCCGCAGTTCTCCCATGCACACATGGCGGTGGCTCTGTACTGGGGGCCTAGGGCTCCTGATGGTCCCTGCTGATGTGTCCAGTGTCTGGATCCAGCAGCCTCTCCCTCCAA